AATGTGGGAGACTAATGATCAGTTTAATCCTTTATTCTTTTCCTTGAAATAGGCGGAGGAAGGAAAGATTTATCAGGTTTAGTGGAAATATAAGGCAGCCAAACTGCATTAACGGGACTCCACTTTTCCTCTTAAATCTGTGCTGAATCAGTAAATGCAGTGGTCCTGTTCCGCCCTTTCCTCTTCGCTATGTTACAAGTTATTTGTGTATTCCCCCCGGCCCCCCCCTTCAATATTTGTGGAATATGCCTGAAGCATTTATGGTTCAGTTTTGCTCTACCTACCCAGGGAGTGGTGGTGCTGTGGGCTGAACCACAGAAGCCTGTGCTGCAGGGTCAGAAGACCCGCAATCGTAAGATCGAATCCACGCGATAGAGTGAGCTCCTGTCGCTTTGTCCCAGCTTCTCGCCAACCTAGCAGTTTGAAAGCATGCAAATGCGAGTAGATAAATAGGTACCACCTTGGTGGGAAGGTAAAACGGTGTTCCCTAGTCACGCTGACCACGTGACAACAGAAACTGTCTTCGGACAAGTGCTGGCTCTACGGCTTGAAAACTGGATGAGCACCGCCGCCTAGAATCAGACACGACTTGATAAAAAATGTCAAGGGGAACCTTTACCTTTACCTTTGCTCTACCTAAATCTTGTTGACATACTAGACAGGGGACATGCACCACAATACTGGATGTTCTTTTTTAGGTTAGCGTTTAATAATAACAATTGCATGCCATCAAGTTGATTCCCTCTTACTGCCTGTCTCTGTCTCCTTTTCAGGGATTTTTAGTACCTCAAAGTGGTTTACTAGTCCCTTCTTCTGGTGATAGTCCAATACTGCGCCATTTGCCCAAAGCGACACAAGCTGGCTCTTGTTGTGGTAGTGGGGTATCAAACATCCTACCCCAGTCTTCACAGCTGGATACCCAAATAACTGAGCTATCTAAACAGCTCAGAATAACATCTACTGTATATTTATGTTGTGTGGTCCCTTGGACATCACTACCTCATCCTAAAGGAAATAATCCAAAACCACAGATCAAAACAACGGCGTAGATCTGCACAGAAGTGGTATACCTTAGTGCATAGGCAATTTTAGAAATTATGTTATTTAACTAGAAACATCCTCTCATCATGTTGAGGAAAACAATGAGCTGACCTGCTTTAATTCAGTCTTGTATTTGTTACAGAGTACTTGGGACCTAACTTCAAGACCTCTTGAATTTAGTTCTACCTTCTTACGGTTATCTTTAAATCAGTCTTGCTATGAATAATCCTTCAAATAGAAGACACCTTCAAATCAAGGACTGTATTCTGTAAAAGAGGACAAATATATAATTTCTGTATTTTAAACAATAGTGATGGCGTTTATCATGTTTTTATTTCACCATTTCTGTATTTAAACAATTGTGACGGCTTTTAGCTAATGCAATAAACTTGGACTTGACTATAATGGGCCGGGATTTTTTTCAAGCTATCTCAATTTTCTTTTGTGATTTCCAGACGTGGTCATTAAGGCCTCCTTGTGTCACTTTGTTTATCAAGGCACAGATGGGGAAAATCATTCTAGATAACAATAAACTCTTATTCACATAGGCAGGGAATTCTAAGATTGCATTACATAGTGGGCAGGAAATTATTGATTCATATATTTTGTTAAATGTTTATGGGTTCCTAAACAAGCCACTCTGTTTCTGTTGCAGAGTTTTGCAGTTCTGGCAAAATTCTGTTTTTGTTGTGCAGTAGACGTATACAAGAGCCGCAAAGGAGATAAACTACAAACTCCCAAAGCCCACTACCTTCTCATTACCTGGCACTGAGTCCCAATAATTTATTCTGAGACATTTGTAGGAGAAAGAATAAAAATGTTTCTTCACTTACAGTTGTTTGAAACACTTGTGTATACAGCTATCTTTACTGCACACATACTAGCAAACAACCAAACAGATCAACAGCAACAAAACTGCCACCAATTGATGAAAGAGAGGGATAGAACACTCAGCAGAGAGGTGGAGCTGTCTTTAAAATCAAAGGCTGGATGGAACAGTTGGCTAATGTTGGATATACAGACAACCACCCCAGAAAAATCCCTCGTACTCACTCAAACTACAGACAGCATGTGAGGTTGTAAATAAAACTCCAACAGTTTCACCATCATCTTCCTCATCTGCAAAGGTCGGGGGGGGAGCATATTACTTTACTATGCAGAATGGTGCTGACTGGATAGCGAAGTTAGGTGCCTAATTGCAGCCAGCCTGTGTGGCCTTGGGCAAGCAGCACAGTCCCAGGGTGCCCCCTCCCCAGAAGAAGGAAATTATAAACCACTTCTGAGTTTTCTGTACTTTGGAAACTTTGGAAAAGATTGTCATAAATCGGGATTGACTTGAGTACATGCTGTTATTATATCATACAGGATTGTTGAAAGAATTAAATGAAGGGAATAATAGATGAGCTGCTGTTCTAATGTTGTGTTCACTCAAAATAAATCCTTTAGATTAAGATTTTTTTTGTTTTTTTCTCACAAAACTGCTAGGGCTGGACAGCATTTAAAGTAGTGTGCTGGATGCAGCCGTGAAAAACGCTGTGGGGACAGGGGATTTTACAGCCATGTTTATATTCACCCAATAGAGTCTTTTTCCTTTCACTTCACGTATTCTCTGCTACAATCACTTTTGTTGTTTTGTAATCGCTTTCATGGTAGTCACACTGTCCACCTGTTTTACTTGCTATGCTGCTGCAACTACTGTTATTATTAGCACTATGTATGACGGTGATACTCATTTTAACGTAAATCAAAGAGTAAAGGTGGTATACAGAAGATTGCTTCAAAACTTTAGCTTTGTTAATACTACAATATTCATATTTCTATTTTGTCTCTTTTGTTGTTAGAGGAGCTAAAACAGATTAACATGGGGGGGAATGAAAACTACAGATATTGTAGTCAAAACTACTTACACTGATGTTAGGTTTTTACCTTTTCATCAGTCTCTCACACCAAACTGAAGAAAATAATCCACTTGCTGTGCTCCTCAGTTCTGGGATTGATAAATTAGCTGCCTCATTTCCTCTGCTACTGTCTCTTATGGACAGGGCAGCAGCTTAGCAAATCTATTTGGGAGAACTGAGCCAGGATAAGATTGTCACCTTTTTACGGGCAGAGGCTCTAGGCCTTTAAGTAACTAGTGCAAACAGAAGGTATTTCCCCCTTCCTTCTCCCCTGCCACCTAGACTTGTTCACCTCTCCCTGTTGTGTGGTTGAATAGGCTCAGAGCCTTTATCCCCACAAGAGACATAACTCTTAATAGGATGGTAAAAGCCCAGGTCTGATCTGTGCCTGGATGAGAGGCCACCTGTGAATCCTGTGTGTGCTTGCCATGAGTTCCACATTGAAAGAAGAATCAGTGCAATAAAGTAATAATAAAATATGACTTGTCAAGGTTTCTGGAAAAAAACATCCTCTTCTGGCTAAAACTTTAAAAAAACCTCAAGTCTTGCCATAGGGACACCTGTTTCATCATGATGTAACGTTATGTTTATTACCCGATGATCCTCATCAAGAGCTCCAAGTTCAGAATGTGTGTATCATCTCAAACTGGCACAATCACTCTCTGGCTGAATGACTAAAACAAATCTCTGTGCAACTATCAATCCATATATATCATCACACCTACTCTATGGCAAGAGAAACAGCTGTAGCTCTAAAATATATAAACTAAGTAAGTTTTTTTAAAATGAAAATAATCCATGGGTCATGCACTATTGTTTCCCTTGTATTCTAAGTATTGGTCTCTCATTCATTCAAAGCACTTGTCTCTTTTATTTCCTTTTATTTCATCTTATATTCTTTCTGCCCCCTCAACGGAGGGGCACTCACGTTGGCACTTAAGTACCATTGCTTATTCATTACCCATTTTAAAAAAAACATTCTTACATTAAATGTCCAACATAATACACATCCCCTCACCACTGCAAACTACTTTTTTATCTAGTCATCTGTCCAAGAAAGGAAAAATTTAAACCTCATCTACGATAACAGGTTTGTTTAAAAAAAAAAAAGCCCCCTTATTTAGCATCCCATAGAACAACTTCCCTCACACACATTACTAATTATTTGCAAAGCAGTTGAGGAGAAGGTGCCCCCAGTCTCCAGATTTGGCTTGAAGGATCTGGCCTGGACAGTAGCACTTCCAAGATGGAGGACTTGGACAACTCTGGATACGACTTCTTAAGAGAAGCGTGTGAGGCACCTTGTTTAAACCACTAAAATGTTACAATCAGAAACTAGCTTTTGATTCCTAAACAAATCTTCATCAGGCCAGACATTACATGTTGTGGTTGGGAGTGCAGAAGAAAGAGAAAAGTACCAAAATCATGCGCAGGCCAGCTTCTAGTGTTTAAAGCAAGTTTCAAAATGGTAGCTGTCTAATAAAGGTATCACCTGCTCTTGTCTCTTTAATTGTATACATGGGCCACATGGGTGTTTGTTTGTTTAATCATACAATCATAGAATTATTGAGTTGGAAGGGGCCGATAAGGCCACTGAGTCCAACCTCCTGCTCAGTGCCTCCTTTCTAAATTATTTAGAGGACCCTCAAAGGAAACTCCTTGAACACAGACAGAAGTGATTTCCTGTGGTATCTTAAAGATGAACAAATTTATTACAGCATAAATGTCTGTGGACCTTTGAGTCTACATCACCAAATGCACAAAATGGATTTATTTCATGAAAGATTATGCCATAACTCATTTGCCGGCTTTGACAATGCCACAACAGCCCGTTGGCTTTTTCCTTCAATAAACTAACATAGCCAACTCTCTGGAAATTCCTTGAGGGGGAAAAACACAGAGGCAATGGAGTTTGTTATAAAGTTGGAACAAGGACCTGCCCAAAACATGCTCTGAAGAAAGAAAAATAAAGCCAGTCCAGCCCCTGGAGAAAGCCTTTTATTTGTTAATACAAGAATAGAAATTCTGCAATAAATACAATCTAATAAATAACATCTGAAAATAAATAAATATTAATACAGACAAACTGAGAATAACACAACCTGATAGTGGAAGGGAGGAAGAGGAGTGGACAAAGAGGAGGAGAAAGAACTGAGGATGGGTCCACGTGTAGGAAACCCTCCTCTTCCTCCCGTGCTGGTGACAAGTGTAAACCACGCAGCCTCACCAGGCTTGCCTGCCATTGCATGAGGGGAGAGGTATAAGCAGGCAGTGACTCCTTTTGGGGCCGGCTTGAACTATAGCCCTTTTGTATGTTACTGTGGCAGTATGCTACGAGTGGACAAAGTGCAGCCTGTGGGCTACAGCTGTTCCCCAAGGCCATTTTTTGTTCACCCTTTGAGGGGGAAAAGTATATAAAAATGGAAGGAAACTCTCCTCTCTTTTTTGTGCTCCTGGCAACTTCCAGAAGTGGTGGTTTTTGGTCTAGGGCCCCCAAGTCCCCCCCTGACATCTCCCTAAATCTAAAAGCGAACCAGGAAGTCACTATCTGAGCACTTTTGGGGGTTTTTTTCTGTGTGTGTGTTTGTATAGTGTTTTTTTTTTTTTTGAGCCGTGTGTCTATTATGGAGGTATTTCCAGGCCTAGACAAAAGGCAGAAAATTGGGTCACCAGGCCTGTCAAAGTTGCCCACCTCATCTCTGGGGTCTGATAAATGTGGCTTGGATGAATGATTAGAGGAGAGGAGGTTTCTAATGTGGCCAGTGGAGGTGGGGGTGTCTGAAAACGTACATCGTTTTGCATTTGGATCATGTGCCTTGTATTCTGGACTTGATGATACCTCCTGTGGAGAGTTTCATTTGCCTTTTTTGGTTAAGATTTGCCCCTAGAGTTTATGGGTTGACAGGAGGACCAGCCTAGGCATCTTGAAAAGCTGGCTTCTCACGAAAGGCCTTTTTAAAAGCCCTCTGTAAATTCCTAATTGGCACAGTCCCCTAAAGAGAGAGAAAAGGAGATTGAAAGAGAGAGAGAGAGAGAGAGAGATTGAGAATGCAGGAACCCAGGCTCTGGGGGAAACAGTTTACGGAGAGTGGAGTGTCAGAGGTGGAGGCTGCCAGATGTTTGCTGCCCTGAAGCCAGAGCTTTATTGCTCATCACTGAGGTGGGAGAGAACAAGGTTGTTCCTCTCCTTTTGGAAAATTAACGGCCCCCTCTAGGAAGAAAATGAGAAATACGGGGCACCAAGGAGGAGCAGGAGAAAGGAAAACAACAGATAGGTGGAACGGGTTCATTCACCCAGAGGCACAGCTCCCTAACAGAGAGAGCAGTGCAGCACCATAAGGGTGAAGGAGCACTGATGGTGGGGAAGCGTTTTGAAGAAAGATGGGAGGGGGCTATGGATTCAGAGGTTTTGGGAAACCCCTTAGACCTTGAGTGGTAGATGAGGTGCCATCTGACATCAGCAGATGAGGTGAAGATAGAAAGAGACTGGCGACAGGGTGGGATCAGAAGCCCCTGCTCTCGAGGTGCAGCATAACAGCAGAAGGTGGCACCCTCTTGCGTAATCTATTGAAGTCCTTAGCTGAGCGCCACAGCCAGGTCTGCAACTCTTTGAGCAGCCAGAAGTCATCCATCTTGCGCAGGAAGGTGGGTGGATCAATTTGAGGCACAACAGAAGGCTCTGGTGTTGGAAGCGAGTAGCCCAGGGAAGCCATGATGCCACCAATAGAGCCCAGGAGGCCTTGCAGGCTGGCACTGAAGTGAGCTAGACTGTGGTGCAAAGTTGGCAGGGCAGCTGGGGTTGCTCTATCCATGGTCCTCAGGTATCTCAGCAGGTAGCTGTATGCCTGGTAATTAGCTGCTAGCCGTGCATTGTCATTGAGGCTGTGCCACTCCTGAATGTCCACAGTGGCACTTGGCACAGCTTTTGCCCCAATGATACGTGGAGGGTCAAAGTCCGGCTCATTGAAAGGTGGTCCTAAGTAGTTGAGCTGAAAGGGAAAAACAAGAGAATGTCAAACTCGCTTAAAGTGGAACGGCACATTTTCATACCGCTGCCCTCTTCCCACAAGCTCTCTCACAGAGGCAATGAGATGTGACTTTTGGCAGAGTAAGGGAACTTTGAGTTCTTAAGAGGTACATAGCACACTGCTGGGCATGAATGTGTACTGACACTCTGAATTACCATGAGCAGCTACACTCTACAAATATGTGTGCAAGGGAGTATGCAGAGCTGGAAAAAGTTACTTTTTTTGGTCTGCAGGTGCCTGGCTGGATAGTTATGGGAACTGCAGTCAAAAGAGGGATTTTCCTCCATATTCTGAGCTCAACTATGCACTCACCTGCTGTCATACCAACACACAGCCATGTGCAGGCATGTCTCCCTGGATACAAATATACTTGTCTCCACTGAAATGCTAAGATCCCCTTTTTAGTCGATACACCTAGCACTTAATATAATGCAACTGCAGCTCAGAAGCTCATTCACGCAGGTGTCTGCTGAGAGATCTCTGCTTCCCCTTGAACACTGTGGCAGACACACACACACACACACACACACACACACACACACACACACACACACACACACACACACACACACACACACACTTTTATTACCACCCGCCTGCCCTGCTAAGCCAAGTTCCTGGGATTCCCTCCCCCCCACCTGCCCGCACCAGCACTGGTGCCCTGAGGGGCAGCAGGATTGCCCAGGCGATGGGGTGAGCGGGTGGGGTGAAGCATGGAGCGGAAGGGAGGTGTGTCAAAGCCTGCGGGTGTGTGAACAATCTGACAAGCTCAGGAGACAAATTAATTTCCTCCGTGTCGCCTGGGGACAAGTAGAGACGGTTCTCCCCTTAAACAACTAGGCAGGCAGCAGAAACCAACTCACAGGGCAGGCTGGGACGTGGCCAAGAGCATGAGACCAGCAGAGGGGGAAAGCCAGGAGGGTGGGAGGGAGGGAGAAGGGAAACTTCCCTAATACTTCAAGCTGCGGACTTTGCAAGAAACAAGGAAAGGAAAGTGGGGGGGGGGCGAGTGAAGCCCCCAGATTTTGGAGGATGTATTTGATGCACACTATATGATAAGAGTATTTAGAGCTTCCAGCAGAGCCTCCACACGCTTTCCTTTCCTTCTTTTCGTCTTTTCATTGGGTTTGCCATCTCAGGCAAGCTAGGGGCCCTGATCCAAGTACTGTACTCTAAGAGTTATAGCTGCACTGGTATCCTCCCCAGATGTTCACGGTAATGAACTTCCTGTCCCACCACGAAATCACAAGGATTTAAATGTGATATTTAGGTTCTTTTCTTTTCCTTTGTGAATCCTGGGTCATTTTGCACAGGCTACCACCAAGCTTTACTTTGCAAACCACAAAGAAAGCCCCCTCTAGGCAAAAGAGGAAGAAGGCTTAAAGAAGAATACCTGTAGCTTAAAGCCTCAAAATGCTTAATGTGAATCATGAGGTAGTTCCTGGGTGGGAGCTCCTGAAAGCTTGTGTTTATGTGGCAACAAGAAACCTCTATTGTACAAGGAGACAGCCAAAAAGAAAAGAGAAGTGCTGTGCAGGCAGCATGTGAAAGCACTCAAAAAGCTTTGTGTTAAGGCTGTTGTTTTTGACACATCAGTTTTACTCATTAGTACACTAAGTACTACATACCATGTGGAATAAGAGAGGCACAGATAGACAGAAGGAATCAAAATGCTCAGAATCCTCACTATCCTGATCACACATAGAGCTGGTTCAGAATGCAAATACCATGGTCTAAGCTAGAACTCATCGGAGGAAAGGTGGGATTTAAATGGAACAATAAAACAAATAATTCTTCTTAGATCAGTGGACAGGCAAGGAAGGAATGTTACAATTAAAAGCACTGAATCCTGCAGAGATTCAATGCACTTAAACAACATACATTTTGATCCCCTAAATAAGAGCCATGTGGGTTGTTAACGTAGTATTTATCATCTGTCAGGCTACTTTGATTCATTTTTCCTATTCCAATTCATATTTCCTATTCCTTTACCTTTACCTTCCTATTCCAATACTTTCCCTTAATCATTGCTTCCATTGTCACACATGGGAGCAGTGATGCTTCAATAGAAATCCCTTAGTAGACATTTCAAAACATCCCGAAAGGTGCAGCCAACAATGCAGCAGAACTGACTGGTTTCCTTCCCAGGAAAGTACAGGGATCCACTGGTTATGTGGCAGCCAGTGTGCGTATTTTATTTCCTCTCTCTTAGCCTGCTTATTTGCTAATCATTAACTCCGGGAGGAAGTGGAAGACAGGAGGGCCTGGCGTGCTCTGGTCCATGGGGTCATGACCAGTTGGACATGACTTAATGACTAAACAACAACAACAACAATGCATCAGCAAACTACTTAGGAAAAGGCAGTAGATTAGGAGGCAGTAAGGCAACAGAGGATTAGAAGACCACTGCTGTGTGATACAAAGAGATGAAGGGGATCATAATAAAATCTAGTGGCTACACAACTCTCCCTAGTAACTTTCCCAGGTTCTAGCTACAGATGCTATTCTAAGCAGTTTGCTGATGCATAAGGACCGGCAAGTAAGAGGCAATGCTGTGCTAAATGTTAAGATTAAATACCTGTGATGGTGGAGAATGTCCAAATTCCAGGACTTTCAAGAGAAATCTAGGCATTTCTCCCAACGCTTAACAAAAGTCTCTGAGCAACGTCCTTGATCCACTAATAAAAATCCCTTTGTCATTGCCCAAATTCCTCTCTCAGTGCTAATCCAGATGGGATGATCTGAAGCAACTTGTTGCTTCTTCATGCTTCATAATGGTACTGTTCAATCAAGGCATCCACGTAAGTACATCTTTTATTCTAGGCCATTCCACTAGCCTAGTCCACACAGGGGATGAAAACAGAAATATTTTCTTGTAAATTCACTCCTCTCCTCCTCTTCCCCTACTCATTTATTAGTTTCTCAACCCTGTTCTCTGCCCTTTTCAATCCTCCTCCTACCACATTCACTGTCCCCTCTGCCTGCTTACCCTCTTTCCATTGATATCAAGTCTCTCCAAACCACAGTTTCAATAATAAATAATTTTTTGTTGTATAGCTCTATTTGTGGCCAAGCCCTTCTCTCTTCCTCCCTCCCTCTCCCCCCCTCTCTCTCTCACACACAATCTAGTGCTAAAATTATCTGTTCCTTGTAATCTACCAGGTTAACGCTAACTTTACTAATTGTGGAGGACGTGTTCACCAGTTTGCATCAAATTTAAAAAAAAAGAATTGTGAGAATATTTTGGCCACTTTTGGATATGGGGTATCTGATCTGTGGTGCTAGATCAGCAAGAATAAAGAAGTCAGCATTAAGCCACTTCATTCTTTTCCATCTAGTGCTAATCTTATTGCAAAATTTTAACAAAACTAAACAACATAACTGTGTATTATTATTCACATTTCAAAAGGTTGAAGTATGTATTTTAGAACTGTTGTGATGATTTTTGTTTTACTTTTTGTACACTGCCCAGAGTAGCAATCTGCTAGATGGGTGGTATAAAAATGGAATAAGTATGAATAAATAAATACAAGATAAGCCCAGCAAAAGGCATGAGAGACAAGAGAGATTAGATACTTGGACACCGTCATTGGAGATATCATGAGATACTGCACATGCCCATCAAAGGTCCCACAGATCAGGCTACACAAAAAAAGGACCAGAAAGTTACAGAAAAAGATTGGCCGTAATTTGTATTAGCAAAACATAGGCCCAAATCCTCTAGCATAGCTATGCAAATGGCACAAATTTTGGAGGCCAAGTTAAGGAACCACTGTAGGAATTACCAGCTGCAGGCAGAGTCACATAGCTCTACTGTATATGCAACAGATAATCTCTATAGATATTTGCCAATTTAAAGCAATTTGGCTACAAACATTACACAGTTTGTGTTACACCAGCATAACTAGGAAAGATTATTTGGCCCATAATCTGGATATTTGAGAAAATAAGGATATATCTGCAGGACTGTAGATTAAAGCAGGACAAATGCCAGTATGGATGAACAGAGAAAGACAACGGAGAGGGAAAGGAGGCAGAAGCAGTCCTTAAATTCTGTTCTGTCCTGCTGTTAAATTATAGCCTGAGAACAGTACTAGGAAAACTGATCAGAGAACAGCATACAGTTGCTCATGTCAGGCATTTTTCTTTAAAAAATTAACATATGCTGTGTATATGCATAGAATATGCTCTCATATACGTGGCACTCCTTTTGTTGTTTATCCTCTTTTTAGGCTCACCCACACTGTGCTGTTGACCCGAGTCATTCCAGGGTTGCCAAGGGGGCATCCTAATAATTTTGTTACAGATCTGAATAGATAATCCCAGCACTGGGGTCTACATATAGGAAAGGCATTTATTGTTGGATGTACAGTACTGGCATGGAGTGGATATACATATCCTGAATCACTCTCTGACATATCTCTCTTAACACAGACTGACTTCCTTTTCACCTCTCTTCCCCATACTGTCACCACCCATTTCACTCTTTTTTTCCCTTCCTCCCTTTTGTGACCAGCTCACCATTCTCAAACTTTCATGTTTTCATATTTCTGCTTTCTAATTTTAAGTGGTTTAAAATTAGTTTGCTTTTCTTTTCTTTTTTGCAACATCAAAAAGCAGAATGCAGGAACAGCTGATATCTTCTCTGCCCTCTCCTCACATTCTTTACTCTCTCTTTTTCCTTCCCTTTTCTCAAATCTTAGGGTTTTCACCTCAATATTTTCTGTGGGTTTTTTTAAAGTTTTCACTTTTGTGCCATGGGTTTAAAGATGAAAAAGCAAAACAGCTAACATCTGCCTCTCCCTTGCCTATTTCACTGTCTCCTCCTTTCCCTATTTTATTCACCCACCATTCTGAAACCTTCATATATTCACTTTTTAATTTTAGTTTTTTAAAAAAGCATTTTAAAAATTTAAAAAGCAAAAAGAAGGAACAGCTGATATCCCAAGAAGACTAAACAAAAGCAACAGTAAGGTGTGAAGGAAAGGGGGCTGACCAGCAGAAACACACACATTAAGAAACATTATCAAATGACAGATCCACAGCTCAGCATGGAACAGTGTAGTACTAGCATCCACATGAGCAGATGTTGCTTAGCAAGAGGAGGGGAAAAGGGATCAAAGTGCTGTGCTATTTTGATGCTTTGTCCCCATCTCTATTTGTCAATATCCAAGAACTACGAACCATGCCAATTTAAAAAAAAACAAATCAGTTCATGGTTCACTCAGTTTGGAACCATCTCTAAATGAAGGGGAGGCTTAGGGTATTGTGGGACGTGTAGTTCTTTGAGGGTTTCCTATATATCAGTGGTCCCCAACCTTGGGCCTCCAGATGTTCTTGGACTACAACTCCCAGAAGCCTTCACAACCGCCTCTGCAGGCCAGGATTTCTGGGAGTTGAAGTCCAAAAACATCTGGAGGTCCAAGGTTGGGGACCACTGCTATATATAGCCCAATGGCCAGCAAAACTACATTTCTTACAATACACTAAGCCTTTCAGGAAGCACTGGGGCAAGAGGTAGGCCCCAGACAGCTTACTGCCCTACTCAGCTGGGCAGCGGCAGCAGAAGGGAGGAGGCAGCCCAGAGCAAGTAAGGTAGGTTCTGAGGCCCATGAAGGGGGCCTTTCAGGGGAGAAGGGCAAAGTGAAACAAAATGCCAATGATGAAAAAGCTCAGTGTTTCATTCCACTTCATGAAAGTGCAGTTCTCCAAACCACCCATGAAACAAACCACGAACTGGCCCAGGTTTCTTGGTTCATTTCCTGTCATCTCTAATTAACATTAGTTTCAGCCTGGGATGCAATACCAGTATTGTGTATGCAAGGAAAGTTGAGCAAATGCTCAGTATGGGTGGGCCCTTTAAGAGAGCCTTTAACATAATGTACTGTTTTGTATCTGCTGAGTTCCTATTGTCATGGCTCCGGGTGGGGTGGGGGAATAACCCTCTTCTCTGTGGGGAGGGGGAAATAACCCTCTTCTTCCAACCATTACGGTATGAGGCTTCCGCAGCTTCCATGGCATAACTCTTTATTTCTTGTTCTTAGCTTTCACCTTTCAGATCTGTGCTCCCTCCTAAGGACCTGGATCAAGGCCTAGTTTTCTGACAGCAAGAAGGAAATGGGATAGATGGGGGGGGGGAGGCGGACCCAACGGGAGGGAGTACACTAACAAAACCTCAAATCTTTAAAAGCATGATGGCAACACTCTGGTATCTCAAGTAAAGTGAGGTTATTTCTATAGGACTTTACCCTGCTTGGCCTCATCTCAGAGTGAAGACAGATGTACCATTGTAGGTATAGCAAGATGTGGGGGAAGTAGCTTTGTTGTCTTAAAGACATATGGCAAGCTGTGAAAAAAAACAATGTTTTTGCAATTCTCCCACACATTTAGAGATAAGCTGTAGTCAGTGCCTGTTAAACAGGATCAGTGGCATCAATGACATACCTCCCTCCCACCAATTCTCATAGCATCCTTAAAAGAAACATAAGCTAAAATATCAGCATGTAACTATTGTTTCTACCTTGAGCAAAGAGCTAGATGAGATGACCTCCAAGGACGTTTCAAATTCTATAAAGTTAATGTAAATGCCCAAACACACTGCTTTTATGAGGAAAACAGTCAACTGAAAGTACAAAAGGATCTACATAGTGTACTTTTTGCTCAATTTTGATCTGTATACATGTGCACATGTATACATGTATACAGGGACTGGCTGTAAAAGCAAGTTTAGTGAAGAATTAATACAATTGCAATTTAGAATGTTATTTCAGCCTCAGAAAACTGAAGCTGACCCAAACCTGCCATTGTGTGGGCTGATTCATGTCTAATAGATTTCACCTACAGATCGTACTTGCTTGTAGGGAGTTGTATGTATTTCCTGTGTGTAAACTCTACACACATATATCCACATATGCCATTATATAGGCTGAATGCGCTCTTATCTGTCACACTTCATGTATACATCGTAGGAACCAAAAGAACCTGACACAGTACACTCAGGGAATACGCATCCTCTTGGATTCATATACCAGGACAAATGTTTAGGGAACGCATTTCCATTCCAGTTCCTAACATGTCTGGTAAACAAGCAGTTACAATGAGCATTCATTATCCAAGTTTCAACATCTGATTGGGGACGGTCTTGTCAAGGAACAATATGCAGCTGTCACTTTTATTACTAATGTTATCCCACTTAGTTTTTCATTCCTTAAATGTTTTATTTCCAAAAGCAGAAAAGAAAATATAAGGAATAAAAAAGAGATTATAACCACTATCCTGGTCTTAAAATCAATCTTGTCTCCCTTTCCCTTTCTGACTCATGGTGACCCTGACAAGGTTTTTGAGGTGTGAGAGATGTTCAAGGGGTAGCTTTACCACTGCCATCCACGCCATGAGTTTCCATGGCTGAGTGGGGATTGGAATGCAGATCTCCCGAGTCCTAGTCTGTTACTGTGTCCAATACACCCTTTCTAGTTAGTGAGTACTTGCAGCCCATTAATAAGATGGAAATTAGAGGCTGTTGAATAGTAGCCTGCTGTACTTCTTAGTCTTCCAGACCAGGAGAATGTGGGCTTCTCCATTTGAATTTCCTAAGGAGGATTCTAGAATGCAAGTACTGTATGCTAGAAAATAGCATTTACCAGTGCTGAAACCAAACAGCATCCTGATATTCACTCTCGTGATTGTTCTTGATGTTCAGTGCCAGGAAAGCCTGCCAAGGGGTAGGGCTTGGAATGCCAGGTAGGCCAGGGAGCAGGGATACCATGCAAATTGACGTGGGGCTGCCCCCAGCCTCTGCTCGCCACACAGCTGGGCGTTTCCCTGGCGAGTTCTGACAGACAGGGCCTCACCTCAGCCCAGCAGGAGATGCACAACAGATTGTAAACAGGGAGACTCCACCGGCGCCTGAAGGCAGGGAGGGAAAAGCATGTCAGATACTTTGCCCAGCAAAGGCCGTAACTGTTCGGGGAACCATCCTTTTAAAGTCTTCATTTAGGGTTTCAGCCTTTGAGCATAGTGCTGACGTTGTTCTCTCAGGAGGGTGTGACTGTTCTAGTTTATCTACTTCCTTACATCCTTCCCCAACTAAAGAGGCAGATTCAGTTTCTGTCACCTTTCATGCTCTCCCCTTCGCACTAGGCTTCCAGAATAGAAGTTGTGCAGCAGCGTGTGACTGTGTGTTTGGGATGTACTGAGAGCAACAAGAAACGCCTCACCTTGCCGCGCAGGCATCAAAGTGGAGAGAGGAAGTAACGAGGCACAGTTCACAAAGCAGGGGTTAAAGAGACAGGCTGGACAGGGAGAGACGGAGGAAAGGGCACAAGGGAAGAAGGATCTTGAAAGGAGAAACTACACAGTTACTCAACTGGGTCATTTCTCTGACTCTTGTCAAGGCTTCTACACTCACATAAGTAGCCGCAAGGGTGTGCAGCTGGTGTTCCAGATACCGAGTAAGGTCGTACATCTGCTGGATGGACTGTCTGGTGGTCACTTGGTCCGTGCTGTTCAGGGCGGGCACCACAGGCAGGTTCCAGAGCGTGGCACACAGGAAGGCAAGGATCCCCCACGAATCTCCTGCAGGGAGCACACTTGTAAGGAGCTGTGGGCGAAGGGAGCACTGTGACGGGGGTGAGCAAAGCCTGCATTTCCCATCCCCATTCCCCCCCTCCACCTCCGCCACCCTCACTATTTCCAGAAGAAAGAGCAGGAACAAGTTCTCTCTCTAGACCTTTGCTTACCCCTAAATTGATGGTATATCACCTCTGAGGATCTAGAAAGCTCAGGAACAAAGAAAATACTTAATGCATGATCACCTGGGGAAATAGATTGCAATTTGCATCACTTGTGGAATGCTCTAGTGCCATCTATTTCCCATCAAATATAAGATGCACAGGGAAATGCCCCCCCCAAGCCTGATCCAATCCGTGCCCAACCTGGACTTTTTTGGTCCAGCTGTAGGGCTTCTACTTTTGGGGGCTGGAGTGGAGCAATTCCCCAGCAGACGGAAGAGTCGTTTAAGGGAGCTCACTCCCCACAAAGCAAACTTTTCCAGTGTGATAAGGCATGCACTTTTGCAGCTGTCTGACTGTACCCTGAGCCAAGAACAGCCAGAGGCTGGAAAACTTACTTTAAAAAATTAAGTAATATTGCCATTATTCTCCAACCAGCATAGCCATTGACACAAGGAATTTTAGTGAAATTTTAAAAACATTTTCCACCTTTGAGATTGGCCAGGCCCTAGGCCCTAGGGTATCCATACACAGGTTCAAATTGTGGGTACCTACTGCTCAAAGGGGGAAAAAAGGAAGTCGGTCACCACAGGCCTCATAAGGGCAATAAGGTCTTGTCCTCTTCATGCATGCTCCATGTCTCTAACTCTGTTGTATCAGCTACCACCTCATCAGACAGTTTCCCCTCTTTCTCTAAGGCCTACATCCTCTATGATATGATTTCCCTTATCTCTGGTAGTGAGAAAAAAACCCAGGGCCAATCACAGCTTCATAGCAACTTCACTGTGTGTTATGTGTGCAGGGAGATCTTTGGTTTATATGCAGGACCCAAGCAGGAAAGTATTAATACCCATGTTCCAAAGGCGCATCCTCTGCCTCCATGATTACGATTTTTTAAAAAAAGAAACCCCACATGTAAATTGCATTCACACAATTAATAGCTTGTCAAGATGTCCCAGGAATAAGTCATATTTTTTTTCTCAGTCACACACTCACACACACATTCCTCGGTTTATATGGGTATCTCAAAAAGCCCAATAAAATTCATTGTCATAATTCAGAAGTGGGCCAAAATACAGCAGTATTTTTCAGGCAAGATATGACCGACAATTGCTTACTCCTTTATGTCAACCTTCTTCAACCAGCCACCCTCTAGACACCTTGGCTTACAGTCTTCATCATCCCCAGACAACGCAACCATGAGCCTTGTAGGGATAGAACAGGCTGGTTGGAGATTTGGGGGTTGTCATTTTGGGATTCATTGTTGTACAAAAATTACTACTCTGGGTATGAAGCAATAATAATGGAAGACATGTGCACCCTGTGGTGGAGGTGTCCATCACAGGACCCCTTTCTCAACCAGTTGCAACCTGTCATACAATGGATACACCCATCAAAGGGTGCAAAACTGCTTGCACCATTACCATTTAATTTGCAAATATTTGAACAGAATTCTGGCCTTAATGTTTGTATCTGTTCATTAGATATAGTAGTTGTTTCCATCTTATGTGAACAGGTTGCTGGAGGATAGCTTTTCTGGAAGCTTCTCTGCCAAACATTAATGTTTTCCACTGAAACGGAGCTATTAGAGGAAATGGATTTGGCAAGCTTATTAGTGCATCCTGAATTCCAAAATTCTAAAATATTTTAGCATCTTAAGAGTAAGTTGGGAGATTATAGCAGAGAAGAGTACTATATTGCCATGAGCTCAAATCTACTGCTAAACAAGCTCCATTTTGCATCAAAACTGCACATAGAGAAACCCCACACACGAACACATTTTCAAATTGTATATTGTGTAAACACCATAAAAGTGGCTTCATTATTTGGTCTGTTTGACCCATGTCCCCCTGACTGAAGTTTCAGAGTGTACCTTTTGATGTCAACAGGCCAAAACTGGGAAACACGGTCATGCCTGTATGCATAGCCACCACAGAAACCTAACCCGTTACTCATGCCAGTGCCTCCCACTTGTGATGATTCAACCATGAAACACGCAGCCCGGCCCTGGCCACTCGCGCTTGATTAAAAACTATCCCGCGGCATTTTCCTGTACGCACCACGCCCAGGCCTAGCCCAGCCTGGATTATTCCACCCTGCTTCAGTGCTTCCGCTCTTCCCCACTAGGGATGGGGCCCACCCATTCCCTCTCCTACACACTTACACAATACAGTGCTTTTTCTCTTACAGAGATTCCTTTCAAATTTCCAAGGGGGGTGGTCAACAACAGAGGGCATGTGCTTCCAACCTGCAGGAGGCTCCAGTAAATGCTCTCCCCTTCTGATGGGTATCAGGTAGGACTGTGGTTCTCAGCTTCTCAGCTTCCAGATGTTTGAGACTCCAGCTCCCAGAATCATTGGCCATTGTCTGTACTCACTTAAACTCCTGGGAGTCAGTCCAAAACATCTGGAGGTTAAAGGTTGGGAACCATAGAGGTAGAAGAAGGAAAGCCCACATCTTCTGCCTAATCTTGGCCATCATTTCAGAGGGAGTGAGAAAGATATGAGAGGAAAATTCCATAGTAAACAGGGAAAGATATGTTTCTTATCCCCAGTACTCTGTGGGAAGGCTCAGCATACTTTCAACTCATTTTTTACAACTACAGCACTGTGGCCAATTTTCTTTCCTGATGAACTGTAATTTGAAAGTAACAGAACAGGTCCAAGAGATTTCACTGCATGTGGCAAGGGACCCAATATGTCCCTATCCCAATGATAGATGCAAAGTTAACTGGACATACCGCAAGAAGACAGTAACCACCACTGCATCAGCTGGCAAAGCTTAGAGAGCTAGCTTTGGGGTACAGGGCCTGCTACACAGCTCAAACACACCTCCCTGTCCTGCAAGCAACACCTTGCCGCTGCTCCCCACCATTCAGAATTTACTGCCTGAGGCATTTTGATCCTCAGTCAAAATGGAGACTGCAGCCACATAATCTGAAGAAGACTGATACTTGATAGGACAGCTATAATGTGTGAGGAGCACAGCCAAGATCATCCATACCACAGTACATATTCCTGGTTACAATATGTGGACAGCAGAAAACAAACTGATAGGTGGGAAAATTGATTTATGTGAAATGTGGTGTTGAGGATGGCCTTATATGGATACCTTGGACCACCAGAAAGGCAAATCATTAAGTTCTAGAGCAAATCAGGCCCAAATTCTCACTTAAGCTAAGATGACTAAGATGGGGTTATTATACTAGTGACTTTCCACAATAATATAGGATTCACTGGAAAAGGCACAAATAGTACTAGAAAAATTGGAAGGTAGTAAGGGAAGATGACGATCTATCATGAGATTGATTCATTCAATCAAAGAAGCTATGGCCTTACATTCTGAGATGTGAACTTGGTTGTTAATGACAGAACTATTGGAAGTCACTCATTATTGGGTTGCCACAAATCAGATGCTACTTGATGCCACATTTAAAAAAATATCTGTTTCTAGTTTTTCGCCCCCTAATATCTGTTTTGGAATGGATAATCACAATACAAGAGGACTCTCTAGTAATAAATACTTGTAGTACCAAACAAGAAATTGTACTTCTTGTGTGATGCCCTTTTACATTTACAAGTGAGAAACACATCTGCCTTGTCAGCCATGCTATCTCACATGAAGCAATTATGACATAAAATCCTTTGCCAAATCTGACCCTTTAACCCTTTTAAGCTTTACTGGTTTCTGAGTTCAATCATTCATTTATTAAATTACAGTCCACCCCATTAGTACAAGCGCTACACTGAGCAGTTTACACAAAATTAATACTTGTAATCCTCAATACCCCACAATAATAATAATTTTAAAAGGTACATTCAGAAACAATACAGCAATACAACAGACAATAATTATATGCATAAATATAAATGGCCCTCAAAAAATCTAGAACGAATTTTTAAAATGTTGCTGTTTTTGACAGCATCCTGGAGAGTTAGTTATTAAAGGCAGCTTTAAACAATTCATTCTTTACTATATTTCTAAAAATAAAAAGTTTCTCCTCTCTGTCAGCTAAGGGTACTTCCAAAGCTAGATGAAGGGAATTATCAGCAACATTGAGTCAGGAGATTCAGCACCTGCAAACCAAATGGGAACTACACTGATCATTATGCTATTATTAGTTCTCAGCACAGCAGCAACTTTAGCAGAATCAGGGTGCAACCTATATTATGTTTGAAATTCCAGTCAACTACAGATTGATTTGGGAGTTCACAGTCCATACTGGATATGATGCAATTTGCATTCCAGCCCACCACCCCCTTTCTTTCCTTCCTTCTTCTAGTCCCGCCTCTGTCAATCATTCCTTCCTCTGGCCCTGCCTTTGCCATTCTGATGGGGAAGTAAATACAGGAAAAAATAATGATAATTCAGCGAGAAGGTGATAGGGTGATCTAATCTCATATATGTAAGAAAATTAAAAAATAAAATGGAGGACAATTGGGGAGAGGAAAACATGCAGGGGCATGTCCCTCCAGAAACAACACCTACAGATACACACCCTGTCTTTACAAGAACATATCACAACAAAACCACATGGGGAAAACCCATTTTAATTATTCTGGCTTAAAAGGTAGACCCACCTCCACAACCCTGTGGCAGAGGGGGAAAGCCACTTTGGGAGCAAAAAGAGCTGGACAGGTTCAAATCAGCCTTTGCACCATGTGGTCAATATTCACCCATTTTATTAGCAGAACGAACCTCATGGTATTTGACCATGTAGTCGCAGCCTTAGTCGGGATCAATGTGGGTAGCAGGGGCCAAAATGTAGCAAAAACTCTGCACTTGAGTTTCTGCCTCTTCCTTCACAGAGGCTTTCCCTAATTCTGCCTTATTGTAGTTACAGTA